TTGTGGAGCTCTGTTATACACTCCGACACATTACTGGGAGTATTATTGCTGTGGAGCTCTGTTATACACTCAGACACATTACTGGGAGTATTATTGCTGTGAAGCCTGTTATACACTCAGACACATTACTGGGAGTATTATTGCTGTGGAGCTCTGTTATACACTCAGACACATTACTGGGAGTATTATTGCTGTGGAGCTCTGTTATACACTCAGACACATTATTGGGAGTATTATTGCTGTGGAGCTCTGTTATACACTCAGACACATTACTGGGAGTATTATTGCTGTGGAGCTCTGTTATACACTCAGACACATTACTGGGAGTATTATTGCTGTGGAGCTCTGTTATACACTCAGAGACATTACTGGGATTTTTATTGCTGTGGAGCTCTGTTATACACTCAGACACATTACTGTGAGTATTAGTGCTGTGGAGCTCTGTTATACACTCAGACACATTACTGTGAGTATTATTGCTGTGGAGCTCTGTTTTAATCTCAGACACATTACTGGGAGTATTATTGCTGCGGAGCTCTGTTATACACATTGCTGGGAGTATTATTGCTGTGGAGCTCTGTTATACACCCAGACACATTACTGGGAGTATTATTGCTGTGGAGCTCTGTTATACACTCAGACACATTACTGGGAGTATTATTGCTGTGGAGCTCTGTTATACACCCAGACACATTACTGGGAGTATTATTGCTGTGGAGCTCTGTTATACACTCAGACACATTACTGGGAGTATTATTGCTGTGGAGCTCTGTTATACTCAGACACATTACTGGGAGTATTATTGCTGTGGAGCTCTGTTATACACTCAGACACATTACTGGGAGTATTATTGCTGCGGAGCTCTGTTATACACTCAGACATTACTGGGAGTATTATTGCTGCGGAGCTCTGTTATACGCTCAGACACATTACTGGGAGTATTATTGCTGGGGAGCTCTGTTATACACTCAGACACATTACTGGGAGTATTATTGCTGTGGAGCTCTGTTATACACTCAGACACATTACTGGGAGTATTATTGCTGTGCGGCTCTGTTATACACTCAGACACATTACTGGGAGTATTATTATACACTCAGACACACCAACAATATGGAGCTCCTAGAAAAGAGGGACAGAGGGATTTTGGCCCAAAGTAGGGACTGTCCTCCTAAATAGGGACTCTTGGGAGGTGTGGCTGAGACTGTCCCTTCAATTTTCAGGGATTATCAAACTGCAGATTGAAGTAGACATTTCAGGTACATACTTAGTGAATTATAGTCACTGATTTATCTAATCACTTAGTAACTATTGCCTCACTGATAGGGTGGTGGATATATGGAATAAACATTGAGGATAAGGGATAGAGCTGAAATATATATAGAATTCAAATATGCTTGTGATAATCAGCAATCGGATAAACCCCCCAGATGGCACCCCAGTTCACTAGCATTCATTCTTTGGTGATTTAACCACAAAGGGACATTTAAAAAAAATGAAAAATCCTCGCAGTCAGTCTTTTCTAAGTTACTTTTTGCATTCACGTGTAGCTAAATCTTTAATGTTATAAATCTTTTTCTCTGGAGCGCACGCTACGTTCTTGACAAAGTACTGTGACATTTAATAATAGTGAAATAACATAATTCTGCTTTTTTTTTTTTTTTTTTTACAGATGTTAGTAAAAGGGGAAAGGAAAGATGGCTAATTATTATAAAGCACCATCATTTTTCTGTGACATCAGTGGTTTTTTAAAGACGCGACTCTAACCTTTTACACATACGTCTGCAGCAAATTCATAGAAAAAATGACAGATTCTGACAGATAATGTACTGCCAGACTCCACCGCTGCACTTCCCCTTACAATTTTAATGTAATAACCCAGTTTAATGGTTACATTTATGGACTGTTTCCTGGAACTTTTTCAAAAAACTGAAAAAAAAGTAAATGATTCTTTGAAATAGGAGCCTTTAAAATTGGAGAGATTTAATTAACTGTACAGGCCGCACTGAGTACCCAACCAGAGAACTACATCTTTCTTTTATAAGTTTATTTAGCCATTGATTTCCTTCCAATTCACCTTGGGGTTTTGAGATGCAGGTCTTCGATTAAATTAAATCTATGAAGGTACTTATCTACAAATGGCTACAATGCATGCAGACCCTGTAACAACACAAGGCAACAGGGCAACTGTTTTTCCAAACACATCACACTGTTTTGGCTCATTTGACAAGTAGAGACATAATTTATAACAAAGGGCTTAACTCTACAATACTAAATAGACCGGCAGGGCCTCCAACTCTCATGATGCTTTGCCAGCCTGGAGCCTCTCGCTAACCTTTTCACTTCATTGACGAAAACACAAATTTGGTTTGTAACCCAATATTGTGCTCCTGAGAATGGCCCTGATGTGGATAAGATTTTTTATATTTAGGTGATATTTTTTGGAAGCAGAATACCATCAGGTTCATTCGAAATACCCAATATGCAAGAGTATTGATCATTTTTATTAAGCTATTTCTGTTTCACTTACTGTTCGTGACAAAAAGTGTATTTATGCTTTTATTCTTATGTTATAGACTAGCTCTGAGATATTGCAAGATAAGGGATACGGTATAATCAATAAGGAGGTAAAGGGGTTATCCTGACATCATTTCTGTAAGGAATGGACAAACATGCATCCGTTATATTATTATTATTATTATTATTATTATTTATATAGCGCCAACAAATTCCACAGCGCTTTACAATGGGTGGACGAACAGACATGTAGTTGTAACCAGACAAGTTGGACACACAGTAACAGAGGGGTTGAGGGCCCTGCTCAGTGAGTTTACATGTTAGAGGGAGTGGGGTATAGTGACACAGTAACAGAGGGATTGAGGGCCTGCTCAGTGAGCTTACATGTTAGAGGGAGTGGGGTATAGTGACACACACACAGTAACAGAGAGTTGAGGGGGCCCTGCTCAGTGAGCTTACATGTTAGAGAGGTGGGGTATAGTATTGACACAGTAACAGAGGTTGAGGCCTGCTCAGTGAGCTTATGTTAGAGGAGTGGGGTATAGTGACACAGTAACAGAGGATTAGGGGGCCCTGCTCGAGGCAAGGTTTACATGCTAGAGGGAGTGGGGGTATAGTGACACAGTAACAGAGGGATTGGGGGCCTGCTCAGTGAGTTTCCATGTTAGAGGGAGTGGGGTATAGTGACACAGTAACAGAGGGATTGAGGGCCTGCTCAGTGAGTTTCCATGTTAGAGCGAGTGGGGTATAGTGACACAGTAACAGAGGGATTGAGGGCCTGCTCAGTGAGTTTACATGTTGGAGGGAGTGGGGTATAGTGACACAGTAACAGAGGGATTGAGGGCCTGCTCAGTGAGGTTACATGTTAGAGGGAGTGGGGTATAGTGACACAGTAACAGAGGGATTGAGGGCCTGCTCAGTGAGTTTACATGTTAGGGGGAGTGGGGTATAGTGACAGTAACAGAGAGATTGAGGGCCTGCTCAGTGAGTTTACATGTTAGAGGGAGTGGGGTATAGTGACACAGTAACAGAGGGATTGAGGGGCCTGCTCAGTGAGTTTACATGTTAGAGGGAGTGGGGTATAGTGACACAGTAACAGAGGGATTGAGGGCCTGCTCAGTGAGTTTACATGCTAGAGTGAGTGTGGTATAGTGACACAGTAACAAAGGGATTGAGGGCCCTGCTCAGTGAGTTTACATGTTAGAGGGAGTGGGGTATAGTGACACAGTAACAGAGGGATTGAGGGCCTGCTCAGTGAGTTTACATGTTAGAGGGAGTGGGGTATAGTGACACAGTAACAGAGGGATTGAGGGCCTGCTCAGTGAGTTTACATGTTAGGGGGAGTGGGGTATAGTGACACAGTAACAGAGGGATTGAGGGCCTGCTCAGTGAGTTTACATGTTAGAGGGAGTGGGGTATAGTGACACAGTAACAGAGGGATTGAGGGCCCTGCTCAGTGAGTTTACATGTTAGAGGGAGTGAGGTATAGTGACACAGTAACAGAGGGATTGAGGGCCTGCTCAGTGAGGTTACATGTTAGAGGGAGTGGGGTATAGCGACACAGTAACAAAGGGATTGAGGGCCCTGCTCAGTGAGCTTACATGTTAGAGGGAGTGGGGTATAGCGACACAGTAACAGAGGGATTGAGGGTCCTGCTCAGTGAGTTTACATGTTAGAGGGAGTGGGGTATAGCGACACAGTAACAGAGGGATTGAGGGCCTGCTCAGTGAGTTTACATGTTAGAGGGAGTGGGGTATTGTGACACAGTAACAGAGGGATTGAGGGCCTGCTCAGTGAGTTTACATGTTAGAGGGAGTGGGGTATAGTGACACAAAGGGTTAAAGTAGGGGAATTAAATAGTTTGTTACAGAAGGGTTTATTGAGTGCTTGGTAGGTCATTTTTCACAGTTGCAGGAACGGAGTCATGGGGTGGGGGATGAGAAACCTGCTGACAGTTTAATTGATATGCTTTAATGAAGAAGTGAGTGATATGTGTGTGTTTTGGGGGGCGAGGGGGAGCCATCATTGAAGGACAAACTATATGCAAACTTTCGGTTTTGTTTTTTTCCTATTTATGTGCTAGCTATATATTTTATGTTTGAAATAAATGTTTGGGTAATTTTCTTTTTTGACGCAAAGAAATAGGTGATAAAGTGGTTAAGAGAAGGTTAATTGGAAATCCTGATTGTCTCCGTTATCAAATTTAGGAGCAGTTTGTTCACTAGCTGAAATTCTTTTGAAAAGTCTTATTTTTCATTGCCAACTAATAAAAAATGCAAATCTGGAAATATCTGTCACTTTTGAGAAAACATGCCATTTTCTGCCTCTCCCCAGCCTACACCGACTGTCTTTTTGTTCTAAAAATACTGCTGTGCGAGTCATAATGGCAGTAAAAAGCCGTCACTTGATCTACAACGCCCTAGCTCTGTCCATAAAGCACTGCTTCTGAGATAAAGTTCAGGAGAGAAATCGAAAGTTAAGGGAACATTAACTGCCTGAGTTACTTCCTGGTTTGGTGAGAGCTCATGACAGAAGCTGCAGAGATGGAGGAACCTCTGATAGGAGTTTTATTAACTCGGTCCATTTAAATGGTAAGACGGCATTCAAAGGTTGTTCAATTCATAGCAAATTCAAAGTTTCAAATTTAAAGGTTTACTTAAATCATTTGAAGTGGTCATGGTGCGTCGAGTCTGAATGTGCAGCGTTTCACTATGAAATGCCACACATATGGCGTTTAACCCCTGTGCTGCCATTGGTGTAACCCCCACAATCTCAGCCAACCAACGGCAACGGCCGCTGCTTCTGGCTTCTGCAGCTCTGAAAAAAAATATAAATCTAAGCCAGCTATGTCTGCAGTTTGGCTATTTGGAATTCACTTTGAATTCTCACAAATATTCCTAAAATTGTCTATTTTGGTCTAAAATATTAAGCTAACTTTAAATCCAATCGAATTCCTGTCAATTCACGCTTTAGTAATTAACTGACAGTCTACAGTTGTGTGCAGCATCTTTTACAACAGTAGTCAACATGGCGACTCTCTACTCAACAGTGGCCATGTCTGCTTGGAGTAAGGGACATTGACAATCATAAGGATTTGTAAAATTCCAATATTAAATATTATGAGCACTGAATATCTCCTTCTCTCTAACACAGGACATGTCAGAAGTCAGGAAGAATGCTTTTCTGGCTGCCCTTTCTGCCATATTTGATTGGACTTCATCGCAGGAGGACGACATACCTACTACAAATCGAGAAGAAGTGGACATGCAGTACAGGCCACAGAGGTCGACATTTATCCATCCTTCTGGCAAGGAGAGGTCTACGTGCAAAAACTTCTTCTGGAAGACGTTCTCCACATGTTGAGTGGGCTTTAAGACATGGCTTTCCCATAGAAATATTTACCCTGCTTTTTACAGACCCTAATAGTGCAGTTATACTTCAAAAACATACAGCTTCCCGCTAGATAAATGATAGCTGTATATTTCACGTACTGTTTCAGTTCAGTGTTTTATTTTATGAAGTGGAGATTGCCAGGTGAATCTCACTACTGGGGGGTCTTCCAAAATGAAAGAAGTAATTCAATGAACACCTTACACGGCTGTAAAGGCTCCAAACAGCTAAATTTACTTAAGAAAACTTTCTTAGGATATTAAATTTTTACTTTTTCTAGAATATTAATTCTGAAAATGAACACATTTTAAACATAGTATAAGACCTGATGGGAAAGACGATGCACTGTGTTTATGGTATATCCTCCCATGTTATGATCACTGACACGATGGGGGCACAAACAAAAATGGTATTTATCTCCGGAATTAAAGTTTTTTTTCTTTTTATAAAGAGAGTCTTCAAGGACAGTGCCTTTGACTATAATCACTTAAAAATGAAGTAGATATGGTGCTTGCTTAGAGTGACCCTTTAAGCACTATTTAGAACACTTATTATAACCCACAACCTGATATATATACAGAGATACAATATTACGTAAACATTTTAGCCTATCCTGAGAGCGAGAGATATGTTTGAGAAATACAAGTTAAGTACTTTAATCTAATTAGTATTACAATAATTGGATTATTAATATTGGTATTTACCCTTGTAAACTATAAAGGTAACCCATTTATTTAAAGGAACCCTATAGGGTCAGGAACACAAACATGTATTCCTGACCCTATAGTGTTAACACCACCATCTAGCCCCCCTGGGCCTCTAATGCCTCCATAAATATAGCAAAATCTTACTGTATTCAAGCCTGAAGCTGTAACTCTGCATGCTGTTAGACTCAGAAAAACAAGCAGTCTGCTGACATCATCAGAAGTGGTAGCCTGATCCAGTCACAATGCTTCCCCATAGGATTGGCTGAGACTGACAAAGAGGCAGATCAGGGGCAGAGCCAGCATGATTCAAACACAGCCCTGGCCAATCAGCATCTCCTCATAGAGATGAATTGAATCAATGAATCTCTATGAGGAAAGTTCAGTGTCTACATGCAGAGGGAGGAGATACGGAATGTTTGGATGCATTTTAGGCAGCCATGACCCAGGAAGGATCTCTAACAGCCATCTGAGGAGTGGCCAGTGAAGTTATCACTAGGCTGTAATGTAAACACTGCATTTTCTCTGAAAAGACAGTGTTTACAGCAAAAAGCCTGAAGGTAATGATTCTGCTCACCAGAACAAATTCAATAAGCTGTATCCTATACAATGATCTGTGTCCTATACAATAAGCTGTATATCATTCAATAAGCTGTAGTTGTTCTGCTGACTATAGTGTCCCTTTAGGGGTTTTTGCGCTGTGTTAAATCCAATAATAAGAATAAAATACTCACATAAAACAAAGAATTGATACTAATCGGAAATAAAATGAAATGCGCATGTTACGCGATGTTTGAAATCAGTCCAGGATATTGGTAATCTAAAATAAGAGGCTGAGGGCTGTGTATAATGTATCTCGTGCTCACATCTGATTCTCCACCTCAACTGTCTGACAATAAAGTGACTTATAGAATTGTGAACTGAGAACTGATTTGTAAACATTGGAGTCAGGAAAACCATCTACAACCTGGGCGTCAGCTCACTGCTTAGAGCCGAGTTCCCCTAAACCTGGAGCCAATAGCAATACAATTTTTCATGCCAAGCACGATCAATATATATCAAAATGATGTAAAGTTACTTTAGTTCTCTAAAAGCAGGCAATCCAACTTTTGGCCAGCCTCAGAGCCATGCTAGACCTGCTTTATTGCAGGTGTGCTAATCAATGTGTCCAGTTTTTTCACATGCACCTACAGAGACTCTTACTGGCCAGTTGGCGTTTTCACATCCACCTACAGAGACACTTACTGGCCAGTTGGCGTTTTCACTTGCACCTACAGGGACACTTACTGGCCAGCTGGCGTTTTCACATCCACCTACAGAGACTCTTACTGGCCAGTTGGCATTTTCACATCCACCTACAGAGACTCTTACTGGCCAGTTGGCATTTTCACATCCACCTACAGAGACACTTACTGGCCAGTTGGAGTTTTCACATCCACCTACAGAGACACTTACTGGCCAGTTGGCGTTTTCACATCCACCTACAGAGACACTTACTGGCCAGTTGGAGTTTTCACATCCACCTACAGAGACACTTACTGGCCAGTTGGCGTTTTCACATCCACCTACAGAGACACTTACTGGCCAGTTGGAGTTTTCACATCCACCTACAGAGACACTTACTGGCCAGTTGGCATTTTCACATCCACCTACAGAGACACTTACTGGCCAGTTGGCGTTTTCACATCCACCTACAGAGACACTTACTGGCCAGTTGGAGTTTTCACATCCACCTACAGAGACACTTACTGGCCAGTTGGCGTTTTCACATCCACCTACAGAGACACTTACTGGCCAGTTGGCGTTTTCACATCCACCTACAGAGACTCTTACTGGCCAGTTGGCGTTTTCACATGCACCTACAGGGACACTTACTGGCCAGTTGGCGTTTTCACATCCACCTACAGAGACACTTACTGGCCAGTTGGCGTTTTCACATCCACCTACAGGGACACTTACTGGCCAGTTGGCGTTTTCACATCCACCTACAGAGACACTTACTGGCCAGTTGGCGTTTTCACATCCACCTACAGAGACACTTACTGGCCAGTTGGCGTTTTCACATCCACCTACAGGGACACTTACTGGCCAGTTGGCGTTTTCACATCCACCTACAGAGACACTTACTGGCCAGTTGGAGTTTTCACATACACCTACAGGGAAACTTACTGGCCAGTTGGCGTTTTCACATCCACCTACAGGGACACTTACTGGCCAGTTGGCGTTTTCACATCCACCTACAGAGACACTTACTGGCCAGTTGGCGTTTTCACATACACCTACCGGGACACTTACTGGCCAGTTGGCGTTTTCACATGCACCTACAGAGACACTTACTGGCCAGTTGGCGTTTTCACATACACCTACAGGGACACTTACTGGCCAGTTGGCATTTTCACATGCACCTACAGAGACACTTACTGGCCAGTTGGCGTTTTCACATACACCTACAGAGACACTTACTGGCCAGTTGGCGTTTTCACATACACCTACAGGGACACTTACTGGCCAGTTGGCATTTTCACATGCACCTACAGAGACACTTACTGGCCAGTTGGCGTTTTCACATACACCTACAGGGACACTTACTGGCCAGTTGGCGTTTTCACATACACCTACAGGGACACTTACTGGCCAGTTGGCGTTTTCACATGCACCTACAGAGACACTTACTGGCCAGTTGGCGTTTTCACATACACCTACAGGGACACTTACTGGCCAGTTGGCGTTTTCACATGCACCTACAGAGACACTTACTGGCCAGTTGGAGTTTTCACATACACCTACAGGGAAACTTACTGGCCAGTTGGCGTTTTCACATACACCTACAGGGACACTTACTGGCCAGTTGGCGTTTTCACATCCACCTACAGAGACACTTACTGGCCAGTTGGCGTTTTCACATCCACCTACAGGGACACTTACTGGCCAGTTGGAGTTTTCACATGCACCTACAGAGACACTTACTGGCCAGTTGGCGTTTTCACATCCACCTACAGGGACACTTACTGGCCAGTTGGAGTTTTCACATGCACCTACAGAGACACTTACTGGCCAGTTGGCGTTTTCACATCCACCTACAGAGACACTTACTGGCCAGTTGGAGTTTTCACATCCACCTACAGGGACACTTACTGGCCAGTTGGAGTTTTCACATGCACCTACAGAGACTCTTACTGGCCAGTTGGCGTTTTCACATCCACCTACAGGGACACTTACTGGCCAGTTGGCGTTTTCACATACACCTACAGGGAAACTTACTGGCCAGTTGGAGTTTTCACATGCACCTACAGAGGCTCTTACTGGCCAGTTGGCGTTTTCACATGCACCTACAGAGACACTTACTGGCCAGTTGGCGTCTCCCGAAGGCAGATGTGAATAATGTTGGTATAGGATACAGACTACTATATAAAATATAGACTACTATATATATATATATATAAAACCATGTAGCATCAAAAGAGAGATTCAGGGAGAACATATTATTAGAGTATTTCAACAGTTTGTAATTATGTACACTATGACGTACACTATGTAACACATGTTCAAAACCCTGACTGTGCGTGTCAGAAAACCTAAAATGAATTGTAAGAATATCTTACATGCTATAGACTTAAGGAATGCAGAGAAGCCAAATCATGTGCAGTCTATGTATGGTGTCAATGGATGTGTATGGCAAAAACAGATCCTCATTACCACCCCTAAAATTAGTCACACAATGCCACCACCAAATCTCGGGTTTAACTTACACAACAGCTGCATTGAGAATCACCACTGTCAACACAATGTGTTCTCTGTCGCACAAATACAATTCTGTATCTTCTGTGATCTATTGACGTATTACTGTTGAATCTTTGGAAAATGAAAATAAAGATTGTCAACAAAAACATATCTTCTTTTACTACAATGTAAAATATTTCAATTTTTTTTAGAAACTGTTCCCATTGAAGGTTAAAAATACCACCAGTGGAGGGTGCGGGGCTTGAACGCCGAGCTGAGAGGACGCATGTGGGCACAGCTCCTGCTCTGAAAGCCACATCAACGGCGAAACGGCACAATATAACCTAGAAAAGCAAAAATCGGGTGACCACACGACTGGCAAAGAGGAGCTGGTCACTCTGATGCCACGCAAGCGATTTTTACTGCTGGAACGCTGAGATCAGCAAATGAGGCCTAGCATGACAAGAGGCCTGAATGCCGGGGGAGGCAGCCAATCTCCCGACATGGGGTCTGCACCACATAGCTCTCCAGTCTCCCCGTTACCCCCCCATTCCTCCCCTATGGACCGGTGGGGGATATCCCGGTCCACACTTGGGACTCACACTTACGTGCCACAAAAGACTATGTTGTCCAGAATGGAGTCGCACGAGGCGCCCAAGATGGCCGCCATGCAAACCTCGCAGCAGACAAACGAGGACCCAGAGCTCCAGCTTTGGAGAAAACAATGTGAGCTCCGGTTCGAGCGAATCTGCCAAGCCTTCTGGAGGCGCCTACAACTCAGACCTCGCTGCCAAGCCTCACCCACCATGGAGAACAAAGCAGCAGCCCGTCCAACCAGCTCTGGACGGGAGGCCCATACAAGGGCGAGCACACTAAACCACCTCAGCAGCCGGAAGGCCCTCCGCACACAACGGAGCTCTGGGACCGAGGCTCATCGGGATAGATCGAGCGGAGCGAGATCAAGCCACAACTGGCGGAACAAAGCGACTCCGCCTCAATCTGACCCCACTCTGATAGGCATAAAGCAGAGGAAGACTGGGCTTAAGCCACAAGCGGCACGGTGTAGGGCAAAGCGGAGGCCCTACACCGACACCCAACATGGACGGCCTGCTTCTTGTACATCTTGCAGCGCACATGGGCCACAACTCCCCAAGAGAAACACCCTCCCTTACCAAATGCTCCGACGGATGACCCTCACCCTCCACGAGTGACGGAACTCTCACAGAAGCTCCAGAGAACTTCTGCGATGGGAGAAGGGAACTGCTCCAAAGTGGGAGGCCGAGAAGGCATAGTAAAGCGGGACTCTTGTAATCCATATCGCAGGGCCAGTTGGCAAGTAGTGAAGGGCATAGGCTAAACACTGTCATAATCCTAAGAGTCATGTTGTGAGGGAGTCTTAGAACCAGGTACAATAGAGTCTAATTGTTCACAATATACACTTGATTACCCAGGGATACTCATATGCATTTACCGCTAAGCCAAGCGTCAGCTAACCGTGAAACAATGTAAAGCATAGCCAGATACCAAACTTAGTCAGCATGCCTATTACAGGGGTTAGCTTTTCACTGCTGAATATTGCTTTCATTTCTTAACCATGTACTTACATTTAAGCAGTTAGTTTACAAGCACAACCTAAGTTTTATGCTAACTCGAGTTATTACTGTTATTATTATAATGGCAAAAGTTACACTTGTCTGTTTCACATGTACGTGATTATCACTAATACCATTACGCATAATCTCTCACTACTGACCATGCGTATACATCTTGTTTAATGATGATATGTGCTTTCATATGCCTGATTGTGCTATCGTGGCACCACAGGCCTGTTTGTTAACCTTATTGCATGAAAAAATAAAGAATAAAAAAAAAAAAAAAATACCACCAGTGGCTGTCACAGGAAAATACAATACAATTCAATTCAATGCCTTCTTTATGGGATGGTTGAATGTGCTGTGCGTGCGCATCAGATACCCAATATTCCTCTTTGAGAAGCTTTGGATTTGACCATAGCCAGAGAAGGCCCTGTCTTTTCATAAAGTACATTTTTGTATTCCTTCCATCAGTTCATTGCCGATAGGGGCCAAGGACACACAGCATTATGTAATATTTATTCAGAACTCTCATTAAATCACATGAGATCACTTGCCAAATTTATCTTGAGAGGCAGAAAAGGTTGTAAATGCTTTAGAAAGAAAAGTGTCAAGACTTGGGACCAATTAAAATCCATCTGATACTTCGAAATCAGCCCTGTAGGAATGAGTATGGCAAAGAATAATGAGAGTTGCAGTTCTGTAACAGCTAAGGATCTACATCGAGACTACCTTTATATCCCGGTGTTAAGGATTATATTCAATAAGGATTGAAGTTCTGATCATTCATATTAAAGTCTTAGAGTACGTTGATGTCATAATAACTGATCATAGCACAGTTTAGTGGCTGAGGTCATATTGGTCAACTTACTAGTATATGAAAAAAGTGTAGTGTACCAGCACCAGGGCTGGTGCAAGCATCATTTTGCCGCCCCCACTCATGCAGACTAATACACATTCTGACTAAAGTATAAATACACACTGATCCATGCAGAGACACACATACAGACATACACTGACCCATATAGACACTCTCTTACCCATGCAGACACACACTGACCCATGCAGACACACACTGACCCATACAGACACACACACTGACTCATGCAGACACACACTGACCCGTACAGACACACACTGTCCCATGCAGACACACACTGACCTGTAGAGACACACACTGACCCATGCAGACACACACTGACCCATACAGACACACACACTGACCCATGCAGACACACACTGACCCATACAGAGACACACTGACCCATGCAGACACACACTGACCTGTACAGACACACACTGACCCATGCAGACACACACTGACCTGTACAGACATACACTGACCCATGTAGAAATACATACAGACACACACTAACACAAGCAGACACACACATACAGACACTATCTTACCCATACAAACACACACTGACCCATGCAGACACACACTGACCCGTACAGACACACACTGACCCATGCAGACACACACTGACCCATACAGACACACACTGACCCATGCAGACACACACTGACCCATACAGACACACACTGACCCGTGCAGACACACACTGACCTGTACAGACATACACTGACCCATGTAGAAATACATACAGACACACACTAACCCAAGCAGACACACACATACAGACAGACACTATCTTACCCATACAAACACACACTGACCCATGCAGACACACACTGACTCATACAGACACTATCTTACCCATACAGACACACACTGGCCCATGCAGACAAACACTGACCCATGCAGACAACAAATGACCCATGCAGACACACACTGACCCATATAGACTCATACAATGGCCCATACAGACACACAATGACCCATGCAGACACACACTGACCCATGCAGACACCAAATGACCCATGCAGACACACACGGACCCATACAGACACACAATGGCCCATACAGACACACAATGACCCAAACAGGCACACACTGACCCATGCAGACACACACTGACCCATGCAGACACCAAATGACCCATGCAGACACACACTGACCCATACAGACACACACTGACCCATACAGACACACACTGACCCATGCAGACATACACACTGACCCATACAGACACACACTGACCCATACAGACACACACTGACCCATGCAGACACACTGACCCATACAGACACACACTGACCCATGCAGACACACACTGACCCATACAGACTCATACAATGGCCCATACAGACACACAATGACCCATGCAGACACACTGACCCATGCAGACACCAAATGACCCATGCAGACACACACTGACCCATACAGACACACAATGGCCCATACAGACACACAATGACCCATACAGGCACACACTGACCCATGCAGACACACACTGACCCATGCAGACGCAAATGACCCATGCAGACACACACTGACCCATACAGACACACACTGACCGCAGACACACACTGACCCATGCAGACACACACACTGACCCATACAGACACTGACACTGACCCATACACACACTGACCCATCAGCACACACACATGCAGACACACACTGACCCATACAGACACACACTGACCCATGCAGACACACACGACCCATACAGACACACACACTGACCCATACAGACACACACTGACTTGTACAGACACACACTGACCCATACAGACACACACTGACCCATGCAGACACACACTGACCCATACAGACACTCTCTTACCCATACAGGCACACACTGACCCATGCAGACACACAATGACCCATGCAGACACACACTGACCCATACAGACACACACTATGGCCCATACAGACACACAATGACCCATACAGACACACACAATGACCCATACAGACACACACTGACCCATGCAGATTTTACTGACCCATACAGACACACACAATGGCCCATACAGACACACAATGACCCATACAGACACACACAATGGCCCATACAGACACACACAATGACCCATACAGACACACACTGACCCATGCAGAGACACACTGACCCATACAGACACACAATGACCCATGCAGACACACACTGACCCATACAGACACACACTGACCCATGCAGACACACACTGACCCATACAGACACACACTGACCCATGCAGACACACACTGACCCACACAGACACACACTGACCCGTGCAGACACACACTGACCTGTACAGACATATACTGACCCATGTAGAAATACATACAGACACACACTAACCCAAGCAGACACACACATACAGACACTATCTTACCCATACAAACACACTGACCCATGCAGAGACACACTGACTCATACAGACACTATCTTACCCATACAGACACACACTGACCAATACAGACACACACTGACCCATACAGACTCACACAATGGCCCATACAGACACACAATGACCCATGCAGACACACACTGACCCATGCAGACACCAAATGACCCATGCAGACACACACTGACCCATACAGACATACAATGGCTCATACAGACACACAATGACCCATGCAGACACACACTGACCCATACAGACACTCTCTTACCCATACAGGCACACACTGACCCATGCAGAGACACACTGACCCATGCAGACACCAAATGACCCATGCAGACACACACTGACTCATACAGACTCACACAATGGCCCATACAGACACACAATGACCTATGCAGACACACACTGACCCATGCAGACACTAAATGACCCATGCAGACACACACTGACCCATACAGACACACACAATAGCACATACAGACACACAGTGACCCATGCAGACACACACTGACCCATACATACACACACAATGGCCCATACAGACACACAATGACCCATGCAGACACACACTGACCCATACAGACACTCTCTTACCCATACAGGCACACACTGACCCATGCAGACACACAATGACCCATGCAGACACACACTGACCCATACAGACACACACTATGGCCCATACAGACACACTATGGCCCATACAGACACACAATGACCCATACAGACACACACAATGACCCATACAGACACACACTGACCCATGCAGACACACACTGACCCATACAGACACACACAATGGCCCATACAGACACACAATGACCCATACAGACACACACAATGGCCCATACAGACACACACAATGACCCATACAGACACACACTGACCCATACAGACACACACTGACCCATGCAGACACACACTGACCCATATAGACACACACTGACCCATGCAGACACACACTGACCCATACAGACACACACAATGGCCCATACAGACCAGTCAAGGCGACCCTCCCTTTCTTATTTTCATCATCCTGAAAAACCAAGTAACAAGTGGTGCATAGAAACTGCTTTTAATATCTAGCATATAAAGAACATTCACATATTCTTTAGTACTATAAGTTTAATGAATGATATGAAAGATAAAAGAGATAAAATATCAGACATAAATTAAAGGATAACTATCGGTAAATTCTCACTTTTCATTTAACGAAAAGATTATATTTTTTCTTAAATGACCAATATTGATTTTTTTCTTTTCTTTAGAAAATGTCCTTTTTTTAATCTGTCTAAGCAGCCATGTTGGGTCAGACTGTACTG